ATATGATTCCATTTATATGAAGTATGCAGAATAGGCAAATTTATAGACGTAGAACATAGATGGTGGTTGCTTAGGGTTGGGAGGGGTGAGTGAGTCTGAGGAAAATGGGCAATGACTGCTAATGGGCTAAGAATTTCTTTTAGGAGGAATGAAAGTGTTCTAAAATTAGATTGTAGTGATAGTTGCACAACTCTGGATATACTGAAAAACACTTAATTGCACACTTTAAATGCATGTATGTATGGTATGTAAATTATGTCTCAGTAAAGCTATTTAAAATAAATGTTATATTTTTCTCTTTTGAAATGCTTTTTTACTTTATTATATGTTTTAAGTTAGCTGAAAACTGCAAAATTTAGCATTTTAAACACACATATACTTCATAATAAAGCTATAATCTGAGGAGGCTTTCTAATAGGTAACTATCAATCTAAATGGAAGTGCATCTGAATGGAAATATTAATGTATGTATACATTCTCTCATACACTGAGTGACATTGTTAAGCTGGTAGTGTATATATTCAAGACCAGGTAGAATGTGACGATTAATGTGATGACTGCAGGGCAATAAAAGTAAAACGTAAAAGTTCTTTTAAAAAACATACCCATACATACGATTGCTTTTTAAAGTTAAATCTGTTTTCATTCAATTCACTATTTTTTTTCTTTATTTTCTAAGTTCAACAAAATAAATGAATAAATAAACATCAAGATGAACTGCCACTTTGTAAGAGAGGAGCTTCTTGCAAAAGCACCAGATAGAAACACTGGTTTGTTGACCTGGTTACCCATTCCTGTTTTCTGACTATAAAATAGTCACTGTCTGTATTTTAAGCAGCCTTAATACATCAATCCTTAAATTATAAATGAACCTATGTTATATTAAAATAGGCACGATTTTGATGCTTGTTGCTACAAGAGCTCCGGAAAATGTGCATGTTTACACACACATATACACTCAACCGTATGTCTACACACATGCCCACTCGTATACTTGCCCCTCTACTCGGGCTCTCTGACCCAGCTCACAACACAGGGTTACTCATGGCTGCCATTATTCTATCAGCCACATTTTGAACTAAGTGTTTCCTTTTCCTTTCGTTAACTTGGACTCCACATCATTTATAAATTACTGCCATAAGAAAATGCACAGTGATTCCATTTAAAGGTCCAACAGAACTTTAGAAATATAACCCCTGATGGGACTACCTATAAAGTATCTTGATTATGACTTATGTTTGTATTCATATTTACTTTTATAGTTACTTATTGTCAGTTGTTCAGACATTAAGGTGTGCTAGATTATATGCTTGTTTACCTGCTGCAGCCAAACTGAACTATTGCTAATTGAAAAATTGTTACCCTATCAAGTAGCAGTTATATTTTAAATCTCTTTCTCTGTATGTTGATGTGGTTTTAACCTACATCTGTATTTAAATGTTTGGTGGTTTACCTAGCATTGACCTAGCCATTGTAGGGATGGAGAGAAAGGGGTAAAACATAATCAGACCCTGCCCATGGAGCTTTCCGTCTTGGTGGAGATTCATGATCATATTGCAAGGTCCAGTCCAGTTGCCTTTGAGTTGATTCTGAATCATGGCGACCCCCTGTGGGTCAGAGTAGAACTGTGTTCCATAGGGTTTTCAGTGGTTGATTTTTCAGAAGTAGATCACCAGACCTTTCTTCCTTGGTACCTTTAGGTAGACTTGAACCTCTAACCTTTTGGTTAACAGCTGAGCGCAGTAACCGTTTGTACCACCCAGGGATTCCTATTGCAGGGTAGAGCTAAGTAAACACTGTAGTAACACCAGTAACAGGTTGCTGATGAATCAGTAGAAGAAGTCATCTCTCCCACAAGAGAACCTGTAACTACAAGCTGAACCTTATAAATACGAGAAGGATAGTGAAAGGTGGAAGAGAGAGCAAAGGTTATCCTTAACCCAAAGTGCTGAAAGAGAAGAGGGATAGAACAAAAAACAAAAGTAAGTACCTTGTCTCTTTGGGGTACATTTTTTGGTGTGTGCCGTCAGGTCGATTCCAGCTCAGAGACCCTGTAGGACAGAGTAGAACTGCCCCATAGGGCTTCCTAGGCCGTAATCTTTATGAAATCAGATTGCCAGGTCTTTTCTCCCATGGAGCCACTGGTGAGTTTGAACTGCCAACCTTTTAGTTAACAGCCATGTGCTTAACTATTGTGCCACCAGCCCTCCTTCTGGGGTACATTAATCTATATTAACTTATGATTCTTGTAGTGGCAAAGACATAGACCTTAATTAAGGGGCAAGTTTATGTTTATTTTGTATTCTAGTACCTAACATTATAAAGTTGCAAAGTCTGTATGTAATATGAAGCTGAAGGTAATTACTAGTGGGAAGAATTACATCTTGAGAGCCAAAGGAAAACAACCACTAGATTTATCCTTCTTGTTTGCTATTAACATTTTAATTTGTAAATTGTCATACTGTAACAGGGGAATGCACCATCTAGCACAGTATCCTGTTTATACTAGTAGGCCACCCTGAGTGTTTCCAAGAGAAACTACTACCCTTTCTGGCCCAGGGTCACATTTGCTGGTAAGCCCTTTCAGATTTACTTAAAGCCAAGTCAGTACATGTTCTTTCTCCTTCAAATGCTAGTTAGGGAACTAGCTCATTGAAAAAGCTGTTCTATTTATTGATAAGTCCCCGTTAATCAATATGAAATTGTGTTACCATGAACTTTAAATACTTTCCAAGGAAGAGGAATATTAGATAATTTACATAATGAGTGCTTACTATGTAAATACATACTGGATTATTTTAATTTATTCTCACAATAGCCCTGTTCGTGGGCATTATCACTGTTTCCGTTTTCTAGAAACTAAGCAAGGAACAGAGATTGGGAGTGAAGTTTCATTTCACAGAGTTTGGAGGTTTGCATGTTGCTATGATGCTGAACAGAGTTCAGTGGAGCTTCCAGACTTAAGTCGGACTTGGAAGTAAGGCCTGGAAATCTATGTCTGTAGATCATCCAGGGAAAACCCTGTGGATCACAATGGTCTGCTGCTGTGAGTAGGAGCCCAGTCAACAGCAGCTAAGAACCGTGACAACAACTGTATGTTAAAGTGTCACTTCTCACAATAAAAAACAAAACCTGTTGCCCTCAAGTGGATTCCAACTCATAGCAACCCTATAGGACAGAGTAGATCTGTCCTATGGGGTTTCCAGGGAGCCACTGGTGGATTCAAACTGTTGACCTTTTGGTTAGCAGCTGAGCTCTTAACCACTGTGCCACCAGGACTCCAGTACATACATTGAAAGCCATCTGAAGCTGTGAGAGATCTTTGTACTATTGTTTTTCTTAAACTTTTTTAGGAGTCTTGATTTTTAGGAGTAAAAAACGTGAAAGGCAGAGAATCATAGGAAAAGGCCAACATATGTATTATAGGGTACATAATGGTAAGTGTTGCTCTGCCTCACGCAGTCTTATATACAGTATGTGCTGAATAAGGACATGAAAAGCCTCCTGACTAAATACCCAACCAAGAAGCATTACATGGAACTTTTAGATTATGTGTTACCAGTTATTTTCCTGTTTAACAAAGAAATTCTTTAACACCAATTCCAATTGAGTAGTCTATAATAACAAGGTGTATATATATATATATATATGTATGCCTATTAATTTCTGGTAGAGAATGTGTGGAGAAAAGATAACCACAAGTAATTTCATTTGGTAATTTGAGTTTCTTCTCCATAGGATTTATAAAAACAACTAAGCTGTTACTAAGACGGTAACTGGTTTGAGTTAATCCCCCCTTTTCTTCCACTGGGTTCTTTGTTAAAAATACTGGTATTCACGGTCAATGGAAAGAAAACAGAGAAACACAGAGCATGGTTGATCCATATGCATGACTGACCCTGAATAACTACGAGGTAACTGTATGTATGGCATAGCCAGTTCTTTGACTCCATAAGATCTCTCAAAATATTGTTTTAAGGATGAAATGAGATAACAAGTGTGAAAGTTCAATACTTTGAAAACTAAAAATCACTAGACACATTCAAGTTATTAAAGAGCAGCTACTTTCTTGAAATTTTACCACCATTGGACTCTTTGCTTGCCCCCTCTCTCTCTCTCTCTCAAATTGATGTCCTGACAGCATGCAGCAGTGGAGAAGGGCTAAATTAATCAATTTTCTTACTGCTTGTATAAATGCTTAGGCTACCACAGGTTTACTTTGGTCACTCTTTTTTGTTATCTTTGGAGCAATTTTAAAACATTTTCTCAGCTTCCTAATTTATTTCACTCAAATTTGTTCAGTTTAACTTTCCAAGATAGATTCGTCTCCCTGTTTCCCCCTTCTTTGTCTTCTTTCGAACTTTGCGACTTAAAGATTGATGTTAATAGTTGATCAGTGGTGAACTGGCTGGTCCCTTGTCTGGAACTATGCCTTGTACGTAGTAGATATTCAAAAAATATGTCATTAACTGAAGAGAAATTGAAATTGAAAAGGGAGCAAGTGAATTGTAGACTTCTTTTTCTCCTCCAGCATTTAAAACAAAGAAGTGTTGATTTACCCTAAATTTCAGAAACTTTCTCTTTTCAAGTACACAGGATTATGGTGCATCAACTGTTTGTCTTAAGGATTGTTGCTTTTCCTGCTAATGTAATGAGACAGAACATAAAATTTCTTTGAAGGATGAGAGGAATGGTGTTGATTTTGAAGTATTTAAAAATCTTCAGGCATTACATGATTTTTTTTTCCCTCTGTTTTATCACGTAAGAGCGATGACGAATATGAGGAAATAATTCTTAAGTGGAATCTTCCAAGACTGACCTTAAATCCCCAAATGTCATCAAAGAATATTGCCATTTAACATTCACTTTAAGAGCCTTTATGATAGGTCTGTTTTCCACCATGTTTATTTGTTTGCTTGCACATGGGAGTGTTGATCTGAGTGAAACTTCCCTGATTTGTAAAAATGATTAATGTTTTCCCCTTCTATTTTTTTTTTAAGGAAATGGCAAAAATCCTTAATCACCCCAGAGTCTATGCCTTTCTGCACATACCAGTCCAATCTGCCTCTGACACTGTGCTCATGGAAATGAAAAGAGAATACTGTGTGGCTGACTTCAAAAGAGTAGTGGATTTTCTGAAAGAGAAGTAAGTCTGTTAGTACTTAAGGAAATAACCATGTCTTTTTTACTTTCGAAAGCATATGGCAAAATGCACTTATTGTGGCCTCACAATTAAAGGTACAAGAGAGAGGGTGAGACTTTTTCACAGCTTTCAAAGCCTTTGTGTTTCCTTAGGCACCCTTGATGTGGTTTTTTCTTTCTCCTCGGTTTATATCTACCTTCCATCTGTACATGACACACCATTAATTTATGTAAGATTGCCAGTCTTTCTAAGGTTATGTGAATTGTGATTATTTTTATACCTGACCTAGTAGATGAAAACTGCTTTAGCTTTGCTGTGCTCAAATCTCCTTTAATGTGGCTTTTTGAAGTTGTGAACTGGTTTTGACATGGAGGTAGGCCAAATCATGTCACTACGAAAGATAATTTTCTACTAAATAGCATTTTTTTTTTTTTTTGGAAGAGTATCTGGAACGTCTTTGCCTTCACAAACAAATCCCTGTAGTTTAGTTGTGATTTATAAGGAGGCTTTGGGCTTCTTTTTTTTAAAGTTCAAATTGTTATTGACCAAAGTTAAGGCATATTTACACAATCTCAGACATGAATGATAATTTTGTTTCCACAGAAAACACTCGCAGCCCATAATTATGTTCTTCAAAGGTCCTCCTCCTCATCCTCACAAAACATTGATTGCCTTCTGTGATTATACAAGGCAGGAAATAGAAGTACTGGCCAAGCTCGTGCAGAACCTTCTCAAATATGGAACATTTTTCTACCCTCTGGGGATGTGTCAATTATCTTTGCATATTTGTGGCACGGGTCTTCCTATTTTCCATGATTTTTCTCCGTTGTTTTTCTTAATTAAGATACAACTTTTTATTTCCATCTTCTTGTTTATAATTATGTACCATGTCAGAGTACTACATGGATATGATTACTTTATACAAATTGTAAGCAATTATTTTTTCCACCTTTAATTAGTCACTTATCCTGACTACTTACAATTCTTTTAAAATCTTTTTCTTCATCTGTTTACTTTCTCCTTCCTTCCTCTTCCCTTTACGTGGCTTTCTAATTTTTTTTTCTCACCTTTAGGCATTCCTTGATTATCCTAACCACCAGGAGTAAATATACTTCCTGTGTATTTAAATATTAAAATTTAAAGCTAATTGTTTGACTATTCAAATCAGTGAATAGACGGTACATTTATTTCAAGAATTCATAATTGTAACTGTTAAATATATACAGCCTTCAAAGTAGAAAGCAATGTAATAATGGAGCACACCATGTCTTATACTTTCAGATCTTGAATAGACCTGAAGTCAAGGCTAAAGAATAAGGATTTTCATGTTAGGTGTCTGTTGTTATCATATATTCCTTCTTTGCATTTATTCTAGCTTATTGTATGTAAACTTGTCTCATGTTAGAGAATCCTTTTGGGCACGCTGGCACTGGTGAGTGGAATGTTTTCAAAATTGCGAAGAAATTGTTGCACCTGTGAAATTTGCTGCCTCTTGCTTATTAAAGCAGTAGCAAATAATGCACACAATTCATACTTGTTGCACAATATTTTGCCAAGTATAGACATGTACCCTTTTGTGCAGAATAGACCAGAAAACTTTCCAAATAGTCCGTTGTATTAATGTGATTAAATGAGGCTAAGGAATCAACACCTCACTTTTACCTCCATTTGGATGAGTGCTGACTCAGTTGTTTTGGGAATTACTGTGACTGCTTAACTGGGCAACAATTTCACAACAAGTTCTAGCCTTTTATGTTGCCCTGAAGATGGACCTGTTAAATCTGTTGCATCTTGAAAAGTTTCAGCAGCATCCATGAGCTATATAGAAGTCAAAAGATGATCGCACCGAAGTTTCAGAAAATAGTTTCTTGCCTAAGCTCATGACCATGGATTCTTCCTTTGGATTCTGAGTTGCCATGAGGCATCTGTAGCTATTCTAGAACCATTACAACTTACTGGAGAATCTCAGAACCAACTGCTCTACCCAAGGATCTCAAGTATTTCCAGCACCAGAAATATCAGCAATTTGAGAAGATGATATTGGAGATTCCCGGAGAAGACACCTCATCTTACACACATCCATCCCCATTTTCAGTTTTCACGTGCTATGGATCACTGGAAGTATAGAATTTGAGTCTAGATAATTAGAATTTTCCAGGAGATTTTTTTTTTCAATTAACTCTGTATTGTATTGTGTCTATGCAATGAAGGAAGAAGCTGGTATATAATTTCACACTTGATTATAACTAAGCTCTATTGAAAAGCTGTAGCAGGCAGCCAATATGATATAACTGATCTATATAGCAAATGACTAAGAAAATTTCAGTTACCTTATGAAAAAAGAAATGAGATTACTACTGCTGATAAAGTGATCCTTGCATAGGTTTTGAAAGTTCATCAGAATCGTTGTTGTTAGGTGCCATCGAATTGGTTCCAACTCGTAGTGACCATGCATATAACAGAACAAAATTTGCCTGGTCCTGCACTATCCTCATAATTTTTGCTACATCTGAGCCCATTGTTGCAGCCACTGTGTCAGTCCATCTCACTGAGGGTCTTCCTCATTTTCACTGACCCTCTACTTTACCAAGCATGATGTCCTTCTCCAGGGATGGGTCACTCCTGATAATATTTGCAAAGTAAGTGAGATGAAGTCTTGTCGTCCTCGCTTCTAAGGAGCACTCTGGCTGTACTTCTTCCAAGAAACAGATTTGTTCATTCTTCTGGCAGTCCTCGGTATATTCAGTATTCTTCACCAACACCATAATTCACATTCATCAATTCTTCTTCAGTCTTCTTTATCGTCCAGCTTTTGCATCCATGTGAGGTGATTGAAAATACCATGGCTTGGGTTAGGAATCAGAATCATAGGATTGTATATTTCATTCGTTCCATCCTGTTGCTTGTGAAGACCACACTCCCCAAAGGACAGGCATCTACTCTGCTCTTAGATTTTGTGAAAAAGAGTTTTCTTATCCTCTCTGGGAAGTCCTTCTCAGTGAATAATTTTCAACTCTGATGGACATATAGAAATAAATGAAATATTCTAAGCAGACTCTCTGCTCTTATATTTTAGCTTATTTTTTCTCTTTAAAAACTACCATCACTTTGTGCCAAATAGGTTAGTACTTACTTTAGAAATAGCAAAGTTTCAGGCATTTCTGTAGAATCACTAGCCCAAATAAGTGATCCAGCACAAAATTGTTTTGTCCAGTGTTTATTAAAATTCAATACAGTATTTTCATTCTTAGAAAGGAGGCCTAATACTCTATCACATTGCCCTATTTTGTGTCAAACCCTCATTCATAAAATGCTCCTGGCTTAAGTTGGTGCATCTGTTTCCTTCTATCTGCTTTTTAAATCTTAAATATAATAAATGTAGCCTTTTTCCATTGGCATCTCTTGTTTCCTCGGAAGCCTTTTTTTTTTTTTTTTTTGTAAATGAGCCCTTATCAAAATAAGTTACATTTTTATTTCTCCAGCATATGAGGCTTCTCAAATACTCATGTTATAAATTAGGGGCAAGGCATTTCCTAATGTTTTTCTTTTAAAAAAAATCCAATCTTTAAAGCAACCTACAGCATTTAAGACCGAAATCCAAACTATGGCAGCTTACCTGAAGCTTTTAAACTAATTCAGTGGTTATCTGTTGCCCCATGCGTCTCAAACAGGGGAGGTGAAATCTTTTTAATTAATTTTCTTTATAGTTGAAATTGGTCCATGTTTTAGCTGGGAGCAATGTAAGTTTACATATGAGCTAACTTGAAGCTGATTGATCTATTCTCTTCAGTTGTTTGAAAGTTGGCAACTATTATCGTAACAGCAGCTGGATTGAGGATAACCTAGTAGTGCTGGCACATATTGAGGCGTATGGGAATTTATTAAATCATGCAACCTTTACAAAGAAAAGTATTTGAATTACTTAATATACTAATTTTAAACAGCTGGTCATGAGCAGACAGTCATCTCTGACTTACTTTATTCAGATTTATTAATCCAGTTGAAAATTAACTAAATTATTGGAAGCTTTTATTTAAATGAATGAGTTCCTAAAATACTTAATGGAATTCACAGGTAGGGATATGAAAGAAAACTACATAGAACAAAGCAAGAGATGAAATTCTGCTTTTAGAAAGATTTTATATCTTTTTAATATATACATTGTAAATTTTACTACTTTCATTAATTGTCACTTAGTTGGTTTCTCTGCTATCTTAACATGACTGAAATAAAAAAAAAAGTATAAAACTTGAATCATTCCCTTTTGTTTGTCATGTAATTATGAGAGTTATTTCCCACTATGAGGATTTTTCTCTTTGATATGTTGAGGATTATATAACTAGGGTTCCCAGGGCCTTGGGGCCTTAGCCATAGATTTAAATGAGCCTCTGTCATTTGAGCAGCAGGGAATTCACATGATCACTCCCCGACATAAACCATGTATTAACATAGATTCAAAAAGTGGCAACATGTAGAGTTATTCTCTCAAGCATACTGTTCTAATGCTAAGTAAAAAAGTCTCTTGAGTCCCTCAACTTCACGCATTAAAGTGTGAAAGAAATACCTAAGAATGTCCTATTGATAGATACATTTTAAAACACAAAGCAGTTTATAAGTTACAAAGATCTATCTGTTTACACAGTTATTTTGTTAGAATTCCAGTGGCTTTTTGGTATATGTTAACTAGACATTAAACTTGAGAAACAGGGTCCATCTCTGTCACTCAGTAAGTATATTTTGAATGAATTAATGAACAGTTAAGTTTTTGACCTGCAAGGTGCATCAATTTAAAGTAAAGTTGTGTCTTTCTGTAGCATCTTTGTGTTGATTTTTAGTCCCATAATATTATGCATCTCTCAGAATTTGCTGTTATAGTTTGTCAGTGAACTGTGTACTTCTGGGTTAATTTGTCTTACTGTTGATAGAATATTAATCCTCAGCATCGTAGTTCCTGCTCTTATCGCCCCTCCTCCGAGTTTACGATACCCAGAGATTGCCCAGTG